GGCCCGAGGCTCGTTCCAAGGAGCAGATGCTGGAGCTGCTGGTGCTGGAGCAGTTCCTGGGGGTGCTGCCCCCCGAGATCCAGGCCTGGGTTCGTGAGCAGCATCCAGGCACCCCTGAGGAGGTGGTGGCCCTGGTGGAAGGCCTGCAGCATGACCCTGGGCAGCTCTTGGGCTGGGTGAGTGTGACCAGCAGTGGTCCAGCCTTGCAGTGGCTTTTGGAAGAAACAGAATGAAACTAGAACCCTGAGACTTGCCTCCTCCTCTTCAGATCACAGCCCATGTTCTAGGGCAGGAGGTATCTCCAACACCTCAGAAGGCCAAATTAGCATCACAGGGTCACCTCCCCTCAGGCTCTGCAGAACCCCGTCTTGCCCTGATAGAGGGGCCTGCCCAGCTCAACTGCCACGTGAAGGAGGAGCCAGATGCCGACAGGCAGCAGATAGGTAAGGGGGGACGCCGTATCAGCCCTGGGGGATCATAGGGGAGTGTGGACATCCCCTGTTGGGGTGGAGGCTGGGGTGGCAGGATCTGATAGCAGGTGGCTGACAACAGGTAGCGATCCTGCTTGCTGGTAGTGGAGGCTGAGGCAGTAGTGTCCACACCAGCGACCTGGGCAGCCCCTGACCCTTTGTGTCAATTTTTTTCCAGCTCCGCCTGTTCCTCTGATTCCAGCCCAGGGACCTGAGAGGCACCTTGAATGTCAGAACACAACCTCTACATCGTTCCTTCCTCCCAGGATGCAGGTGAGCAGTCCGACGGAAGAGGAGGGTCCCTAGCCGTCGCCCAGTCCGTGCCTGTTGTCAGTTCCTAGAGGTCTAAGCAACTGTTATCGCGAGGATGTGAGGGATCCAGGGAGGGTCTATAGAGTTGACCTCGAGCCCTGGGTTCCTGTTTAGTGTGCTTGTAGCCCTTGGGGGTTGGTTGTGTGGCTGGTTCTCCTCTGACTCCTCTGCTTCTCAGTTGCTTCCTGTGGGAGCGTGTCTACTGAAGGGCTTGGGGAGGGGATGCTCCAGGCTTGTAAAGTCTGGTCTCCCCCCTCCTCCACCATTGGCACTGCTGGAAGGACTGAACTCACGTTAAGTGCTTGCTTTCTCTAGCTGTGGCTATCCCTGCCCTGCCACTGGTCCACCACACTGACTGCTCAGGAGGTTCTCGGTGCAGAAGAGCCTTTGGGGTGGGGACTTAACCCTGCAGGCAGGGTCACTTCTGGCAAAGCACCATGTCCACACCCTTGGGTTCTACACCAGCCCCTTGGGCTCTCAGGACCTTTCTGAAATGATCAGCCCACGCTGGCACCTGAACATTCCCCCAGCACCGTGGCTGTGTCTTCTGTGCAGCGTGCACCACTTACTAACGTGTTTCCTGCCGTCCCTCTGCCTTCTCTGCCAGCAGCCGGCTGTGGCTCAGTGAGGAGCAGGTCTTTCTCTTGCAACAGGCGGTGGTCCAGTCGCATGGGGCTGAGGCCTTTTTCCTCTGTGCACATTTTGTCAAAGACAGGGGGAAAGGTGGAACCAGCCACATCTGTCCTTGCCCTCAGGAGAACCAGCCTGCCTTGAAGCCTGTACAGGCAGTTTAGCCTTGGTCTGTCAGGCCAGACCGTGGGGTGGGAGCAGGCAGAGAAGAGGGCAGGCAGCAGTGGCCTAGGATAGCTAAAGGAAGCCTCCCAGTTCTGCAGCCCCACCCCTTTCGACACCTGTGCCAGGCTCAGCAGCCACACTTGATCCTGATCACTCCAGGTGGAGAATGCTTAGACAGCCTGTCTGTATCCCCACGTAATAATTGAGGATGTTAGCACCTGACTGAGGACGCTCAGACGGGGCCACAGTATGGGCAGTCAGTGACAAGTCTGTCTCAGCAGGAGTGGGGGCTGCTAGACACATCACAGAAGGAGCTGTACTGGGACACGATGCTTCAGAAGTATGGGACCGTGATCTCTGTGGGTGAGGACATTACCTAATTGCCACATTGTGCCCCCACTGTCCACTTTAACCAGTCTGGGGGGCTCGGCATCCCCTGGAGGTTCTGTGGGGAAAGATGTCCCCACAGCCACACACGCTGTCCCTTTCCAAAGCCCATGTGTCAGCCCTCTCATCCCCAGTGCCCTGCCTGCCCCTTCAACCAGAGCTTTACCCAGCAGGGCTGCCAACCTCAGATCTGGAGGGTTCTGCATGCAAGGGTGGGGAGTTCACAAGCCACCCTTTTCCCCTCTCCCAGGAGATGAGGGCAGGAGCCTCCTGGAGGCGCCCGCAGCCTCCCCAGAGGTCTGGCCTCTGCAAGGCCCAGCCACCATGTATGTCCCAGTGCCGCAGGCCAGTGGTGTACAAGGCTGGACCGCGTCACCCGGGCCTGGGTTGGAGACACAGGCACCACTCAGGAAACCGTATATATGTGAGCAGTGCGGCCTCGGATTTGATTGGAAGTCAGTATTCGTCATCCATAGGCGAGCACATGCAGGGAGCCAGCCGGCGTTCGGAAGTGCTGAGAGACCACCACCGATCACTCCAGAGCCACGGTCGCGTCCCTGGCACA